CTACGGCTCCCAAAACTTCACCCCCTACGGATACTGTACGGACCGATGAGAGGTCTCCTACGTACGGCTTACGTACGTCGTATCACCGTACAGTACCTCACCGTACTACTGTACGATGGGAACGCTGTGCCGTTGTTCTACTAGAGCTCGATATCGAACAACATGGAAGATCTATACGCTCACGTTTCTTGCAGCTTTGTTTGTCTCTTCCTTGGCAGCCAGAATATAACGTCGGCTCTTCGCAGACCAGACCTTACAAGCTTTTTTGACGACTCCCAAACCTCCGGCATAGACTTTTTCCACCGCACTGGAAACTTAGATGCGAAGATGGAGGAGGGAAACATACTCCAATCCGTACGAAGCAGGCGAAGAACGTCGATTCTGGAAGTCGATGTCTGTTTCTCGAAGGCGGAAAGCAAATCCCGTATTACGGTGATTATGGAAGCAGTAAGAACCGGATCAGGGAGAGGGAAGAGCTCGAGATAGTAGGGAACGTCTTCCATAACAATTAGCGGTCGACGAACTGTCATGTAAAGCGGCATGAACTCGCTGCGAAACATGCGATTTGTTTGGGCGAAGCCGAGGTACTGGCGGCTGGGGTTGCGGTCCTTCAGGGAGCGTCCAAAGCTGAATGACGACCCGTAAGGGCCCGACCCATGTAAGCGGATCTCTTCAGGCCTTTCATCGTCGGTGATAGCTTTGTATATGCGATTGCGCAACTCTGCATAAAACATTAGCAAGATACGATGCTAGCAAACAAGAAGCACCACTCACCACCAGGCAGCGCCAGGAAGCGGGGAGCTACGGCTGGCTTCGATAAATCGATCTCAGTCATGTCGGCTCCCATGGCTATATGAATAGTTCAGCAGGAGAGCACAGTATATGGCTGGGGAAATGTAGTCGAAGGTAAGGTGGTAGAGAAACAAGTCACCAACCTCAGTAGGAAGTGTAGGTCACACTAGAGCGGGCACGGACACGCGTGGAAGGTACGATCAAACGGTGCGATTCTCACCTGGTGACATAGACCCACTTTTGATTTCATTGTGGTGTAGCCTCGCGTTTTTAGGTAGCAGCTGCATACACTTACAACTTTCACGATTCTTGGAAAACGCCATGTATGCGTGAATGTCTAACTGAAGCATCAGAAGCCGTACAAGTCATTCTACACCGAGCTCACTTCCACGTCTTCAGCGCCAACTAGCTCACCCCTCTCATCTCTCTCCCACTCACACACCCCCCAATCAGTCGTCTTACAAGGCATGCAGGCACTTCCGTCACCCAAGCTGCGACAAGCATCCACACCCAGTCCCCTAGTCTTACACCTCTTACAGATAGCAAGCTTCTTCCCCTTTTTGAGCTCATCTCTCCAGTTCTCGTCATCCATGATACGGTAGTTGATGCCGTTGAAGCGCCAGAAGTCGTCGCTAGTGTACATTAGCTCTTCGACAGGAAGCTCTTCACCGTGCATGTATGGCGGGATAAAAGACTTTCCCGATGGAAACGTCTCTCGCGAAACAAGGAAGTGGGAGTTGGTACTGTAGGATTTGAGCATCGAAGCAATCTTGTAGGTCGCTGCACGGTCGAAGAAGAGTGCGCTCAGGAGGTGAGCTTGTTCTGTTGCGTCGACAATCTCGAAGAGGCGGAAGAACGAGTGGTCCGAGAACTTGAGGTGCAGTGTGAAGTCTTCTGCCAGTGTTCCTGGAAGACAGGTATCTACAAGTGATGTAAGAGAGCGGAAGGCGATGTCGGATAACGAGCGCAGATCGTGACCCGAGTTGATTGAAATGGCAGAGTCGAGCATCTTGAGAGATCTAAGGGCTGGTGGAAAGCCGCTTTGCCGTAGGTAGTAGTACAGATGTGACTCAAAACCCAATTCGAGGTACTCTAGATCAACGAGAGAGCGTAGTTTTTCGGCACCTTCAGGGTCGGTGTCGCGCGGTGTCAGATGGCCGACATGGCCACCGCAGTGTGTCAGGCGCTGCAGCGAGCGCGCTTGTTTCTGCAGTGCAAGGAGAAATTGACGGGAAGAGGTGCGGCGTTCGGGGTCCATAGATGGTTGGCATTCCTGAAACACGTGGAGTCGCTCTCCAATTGACAGCTCCTTGAGAGCTTTGGGTAGGCTCAAGACTTCATCAAGGAACTTTACGTTGACGTTACATTCGATAAGCGTTAGAGACCGGAGAGGCGTCGTCTTAGTTTCCGATGCGGATATTCCAAGTTCTCCGTCAAAGTCCAAACACGACAATGTGATGTTCTGTAAGCTTGGATGTTTGAACATAGCAACGGCACGGCCTAGTTTGTATTTGTTGTCTCCCGAACCGTGTGCGTGTAGGGTCACTACGTCTTGTTAGCCAGGCTCCTTCGTATCGAAGCTTCAACTTACATGACTGTAGCATCGGCAGTGTCATCGGCATTCCGGAACGCAGATACACTGACGCTGCAAGCAAGTTTGTATAATCAATCCTTGAGTACCCATCAAAGTAGATACCGCCGTGTTGCCATTCCACGTTGTTCGGGCAAGGACTCTCAATGTGCAGATGGCGCAGTTTACTCATCAGGCTCAAAAAGTGGTTTAATTCCTCTACGCCATCGCGGTATGTATCGTTGTATCGAATAGCCAGATCTTGGATATAGTCCGTCCGGTCATCCCTTTTGTCAAGTGCTGTGGCAATGTTGCGTGCATGATCCCCTGTCAAAACTTCTAATTTACGCCAGATGTAGGGTTCAACGAGACCTTGGAACCGCGTGCATGTCGCGGAAAGGCTACAAAGAGCGTCCTGGTTGTCGATGTGATCGATAATGTTGAGGAGTAATTCATCGACAAGGCGCAAAAGTCCGTTCTCGGCTGGGCCAAGCATAGTGGCTCCGGGTTCTTGACGTGCCTTCGTGAAGGTAAAACCGGAATGACGCGTCTTGCGTTTTTTGGCTCCTGCAAAAGATATACTTGGCATCCAAATGTCCCTGAACTAGTCCTAAAGTTGGTTAAGGGGAGTGCGCGGGGAGTATATGAGATTGATGATGGTCGTGCAGGCGGAGATAAAGTCGGAAGTGCTTGCTGTTCAGCCAACAGGACCCCGGGATGATGTCAGGCACTAGTACGGATAAGGTCTAAAGCGCCACGTGAAAAGAGGCATCTGTGCACCAGCCCGATATCGTCTTTCGCTCTTTTACCCTTCATCCAGAGGATGACACGTAATGAAATGCTGCCTGCTGTATAGTATATAGACCATAGTCTCAGGCGTCCCAGTAAGTGAAGGTGCCACGTCAATATACGAGATTGCATAGTCATAGATACATGTTGTGAAAAGCACATTTGTAGCAATGTCTATCTAGCAAAACAGTATGCATGGATGGACATATTGGTAATGACACATGTCTTTTGTTGCATTTCATGCTAAGCCGGGTGAAACCCCAAATCCCATTGCATCAACCCAGTTGTATGTACATACCAACCAATCAGTCCGTCTGGTTGATTACAGCATCCTACTCACAGTCAGCGTTCGTTCACATCAAGCATTACGCATTAAAACTCACCCTAGCAACTCCATAAAGCGGCTTGACACCAGTCCAGTACTCAAACTGATGCACGCCCTGTCCAACAAGCACCTCCAACCCATTCACTGTCTTCCACCCATTATCCATCGCAAGCTGAATCAATGCTGTGACAGGCGGTTTGTATGCCATCTCCAGCAAAATCCTCTCTGGACCCGGTTCAACATCCTTGACACTCGCCTTACCCTTCTCAAACAATGTGCAGAGTGTTTCGCGGATAGCAGCGTCAATGGGTTGGTCAGCAGGAATAGTTCCGATGGCGACTTGTGGCGTGCTTTCCATGGATTCGACTTCTTCCGGTGAGCTGATCACGTGTAAGTTGTATTCAGCGGGGAAAGCGTTCTTCAAATTCTCCATCTTCGAGGGATTGCGGCCGAGGAGGTAGATTGGTCCGTAGCCCATTTCCTTGAGTGCGTAGATGGCAGCGCGACTTGTGCCACCGCCTCCGATAACAAGGGCGGAACCGACGCCCAGGGCACCTGCGTTACGCAGGATGAGTATCATGCCTAGGTAGTCGGTGTTGCGACCGATGAGGCGGGTGACCTCTTCACCAGTGGTTTCGTCGACTGAGATCTCAGGGACGATGGTATTGAGAGCACCGATTGCTTCGACTTCTGGGCCCAGGCCATCGAGATGGGGTACGATATCCTGCTTCAAAGGAATCGTGACACTTCCACCACCAAAATCTGGCGAGCGGATGAGGTCTTGAATGGAGCTTGCATCAGTAGTCTCGTGACGACCGTAGATGTGTGGGAGTCCGGTCTCGCGGAACAGTCTGTTGTGTAGACGTGGGCTGGGACTTTGCGCAATCGGTGAACCGAGGATGAAGAACTTCTTTGTCGGAATTTCCGCCATCAAAGATAAACCGCGGCGAATGTCCGCTGCTGATAGCTGACCTGGGGCGGCAGCAGAGGGTAGGAGTGGATGCGAGACAGGCGTCATAAAGCCGTTGAGTATTCTGCTCAGCTTTCCATGCTCACCCATATTGATGGCGATTAGAGGAACGGGATGCGCAGTGTTTGCCCAACTCTTGAAATCCGCAAGCGCAAAGTTGTCCTGAAGGGAGCTAGCGACGCCAACAAGTTTGATGACAGTACCGTACTGCAGCGCACGGTTGTAGTACTGCATCCACGAGCCATTTGTCCAGTTGAGTTCGCCTTTAGGGTCGTGGTGACTAGCGATGATTTCCGAGAATCCGCGGGTCTCCGACACCTCGCGCAGGATATCTTCGGGCATAGTCATCTCCAGATCCACAAACTCACAGCCAAGTCGTAATGCTGTCCGGTACAGTACAAGAGCTTCGTCGTACGCCTGATCTGGGAATCTGCCGCCTTGAGCTTTTGTGCGCAATGTGAATATGACGGGTATGGATGTGACAGTCCTTAGTATCGTCAACTGTTCAATAACGAACTCTGGTGTGGGCAGGCCTTCTTGACCTTCAGGGTCCTCTAACAAGTCGACCCTAAGCTCCACAGCATCGGATCCGACAACTATTTCTGGCAGCGTCTTGATGTAAGACTCAAGCCGGGGCGCAGATAAGCAAACGAAGAAAGAGTGCTTCTTCTTCCTGAGCGCCTTCAAGGTGGTAGCCTTACCGGTAATGGTGTTCAGGAAACGAGCAATCTCTCCTTGTGTCTGAGCAAGCCCGCGAGATCCCGCGACCTGACTGTGGAAGCGGTAGTTGCTACACTCTGTGTACCAGTCCTTCCTTCGCAGCCACACACCCATGATATCGTCTACATATGCTGGGCGTGTCTTATCGATCTGTAGGAAGGCGACTACTGCATCGATGTCTCGTGTGACAAGTAGCACGATGCCGCCACTCTTCTGATAGTCTAAGAGGATTTTCCGAGCCTCTGGTGTCTCGACAATTCCACCGCCACAGGCAAAGACGTGTCCGTTGGGCTTCTCTTTGACAGTCTGCGCCAGCATCTTCAGTTCCTCGCTTCGGAAGCCTTCCCAACCCTGTGCCTTGATCAGTTCAGGTATGGTCATGCCAACATGTTCCTCGAGTGCGGTGTCCAGATCAATGAACGGGCGGTTGAGCGCGCGTGCTGCCCAACCACCAGCGGTTGTCTTTCCGGCGCCGCGCATGCCGATGATAAAGATAGACTTTTGTTCAGTTCTTGATGCAGCCTTGTGTGCGTTTGGTCGCGGCGGCAGCTCTACACCCGAGAGCTCGGTCTTGAAGATCTGATGCAAAGAGTCCCAGTATCCAGGCCATGTCTTGCCAGTACATTCCTTCTCAAGGATGAGAACAGGTGCTGGTGCTACCAATGATAGTACAGCGAAACTCATGGCGACACGATGATCATCATAGCAGTGGATACCAGCTTTGGGAGCTTCGAGCTCATAAGCCTTTCCATCAACTTCAATACCATCATCAAACTGCCTGCAGGTGACACCGAATTTGGCGAGCTCATCTTCCATGGCTTGAATTCGGTTGCACTCTTTGACACGTTGGTTAGCAATGCCATAGATGCGAGTGGTGGTCGTGCTGCCATTTGATGATGCCACAGCTGCTAGTACTGATGCTGTCAGGAAAGCATCCGTCATCGGTTCCATGTCGATTTCCTTGACGGCCTTCAACTCACCACGAGGCGGACCCGTGACGGTTGTGGAAGTCTTGGACTGTTCCACCTTGCAACCCATAGGCTTGAGGACCTCGACAGCGAATCGCGCATCACCTTGCAGAGAGCCAGAGCCGATGTTTGGCACCGTGCATGTCGTACCTGTGATAGCTGCGATAGCAAGAGGGTAGGTAGCGGAGCTAGCATCGCTTTCCACCTCATATTCAGAGGGGTTGGTGTATGGTTTGTTGGGAATGTGGTAGGTGTTGGGATCATTCTCAGACCTCTCGACCTGCACACCAAAGGAAGCCATCATGGCAATGGTCATGTCAATGTACGGTTGAGAGATGACCTTGCCGCCGACTAAGCGCAGCGTTACTGGCTTCTTGGAGTATGGTGCGCTCAAGAGGATGGATGATACGTATTGTGACGATACGTTGGCAGTGAGTTCAATCTCTCCTGTGAAGGAATCGGCACCGAAGCCACCACATGCTGAGATACGTAGCGGAAGACTACCTTCGTTCTCTTGGTAGTCAATCTCCACGCCCATGGTGCGGAGAGACTTGACGAGCGGACCAATGGGTCGTTCCTTCATGCGCGCGTTACCAGTGACAACTGTGGATGTGACACCTTCGACAGGCTGGCAGAGCGCGGTTACGGAAGTCAGAAAACGTGCGGCAGTACCAGCATTACCAAGGTAAAGCTCGTTACTTGAGGCCTTGAGGTTGCCGCCGTTGCCTGTAACTACTAGCTCCTTGCCATCGTTCTCCCATGCGAAGCTGGCACCCTGCATCTTTGCCAATGCGTCCAGCATGACTTGTGTGTCATCCGAGTGCAGTAGGTTGGTGATGCGACATGAGCCAGTTCCGAGCGCGGCAAGTACCAGTACGCGATTCGAGATACTCTTCGACCCGGGAGGCCTACATGTCACATTCAGGTCGGAGGGAATGCCAGGATGTACGGAGATGCTCGGTGATAGAGCAATCTTGATGTCGCGATCCTCAACCGAGCTAGCCTTCTTCTCGTACGTCCTGCCAATTCCCGACAAAAGCACAATCTTCTTGGTCTTGCCTGCGTTCTTTTTGTCTACAGCCATGATTTTGATGAGCTCGTCTACGGGGCAATGCTTGTTGGCCGACCGTTTCCGCACGGTCTTGTCTGAGAGCGATGTAGGCAGTCCGTAGCTCGCAATGCACTTTGTCAAGCGCGCGACTGCAGAGGGGTCTAGTACGCCCAGGTATCTGGCCAACTCGGCCTCCTTTACCATGCCTATCGCGACGCATTCTCCGTGGAGGATCTGGGGTGTAAGGATGGCTTCGTAAGCGTGACCGATCGAGTGTCCGAAGTTTAGCAGATTGCGCAGTCCGCCTTCGCGTTCGTCGGCGGAGACGACTTCAGCCTTGACGCGTACAGATCCAAGCACTATGCGCTTCAGTATCGTGGCAATGTTGTCAAAGTTCCTGCGGCCATTGACGGGCTTCTGGTCGATGGCAGCCAGAATGGCATCGGCGTTGCCCTCGAGTGTTGTAAATTCCTCCTCATTCCAGATTGCCGCCGTCTTGACCACCTCTGCCATGCCATTGATGACCTCCCTCTTGGGCAGCGACTCGAGGAACTGCAGATCGATGTAAATCCTCTCCGGCTGCCAAAAGGCGCCGACCAAGTTCTTGCCCGCAGGCACGTCAATGGCTGTCTTTCCGCCGATGCTCGAATCGACCATGGCCAGCAATGTCGTGGGTACATTGACAAACTTGATGCCGCGCATGTACGTTGCCGCGACATAGCCTATCATATCCCCAATGACGCCTCCGCCGAGGGCTATTATGACAGTGTCGCGCACACATCCTTGCGACAGCAGCCAGTCTTCTACTGCCGCCTTTGTATTCCGCGACTTGGAAGTCTCGCCGGGGGATATTTGGTACGTGAGCAGACGCGGCGACGAGGAGAGTGAGGACGCGGCCGACGCGAAGGCGCGCTCGAAGACGGGCGTATAGAGAGGGCCGATGTTGGTGTCGGTGATGAGGACGTACGTCGACGAGGGAATGTTGGTAAGCAGATCCTGGGCGATGTAGTTCTGCCAGATGCCGTAATCGACGACTATCGAGTCTTTGCCCAGGATGGTGACCTTGGTGGGCTCACCTTGCGCTCCATTGACGCCTGCCATGGTGGGCTGTCGCGGTGCGAGTCAGACTTCGCACAAAGAGCAAGTGCGGCCGCCAGATGCTAAATTACAGGAACTGAGTGTACCAGAAGGTGCAATGGGTTGTAAGTGAGTATCAAGTTCAGCACATCATGCTAGGGAGATTGTGGGTGTGAGTCAGGCCACGCAGTACACTTTTTGCTGCGTTCCTCGAAATCAAAGTGCACCGCTACCGGACCTGCATGGCCGACATGGGTTCCCCACGTCATCCCCCGACCTATCACTTACTCCCTTATTCTCTCATCCAAACGCCAAAACCCTGCGCCAGAAAGCCGATCGGCAGCTGTAGACTACAATGTATCGCGCATTTCGAGAGATACACATGTGCATCGCGACCCTCGTACAGAGCTCGTTCTTATCGTGACCCAACGCGCGTCATGCACGTCGCTCGAAGCGCTGCAAAGCTTCACATATCGCATCGACACAGGTCCTGAGAACGCCGGTCGCCGATTCCGCCGTCTTACATTCGGTGCATGTTTTGGTTTGGAACCTGTAAGCCTACGATGAGTCAGAACAAGCAACAACAACACCATGGAGCTGTTTGCTAGCTACACCCTCATCTAGAAATTGGGTGAACTCCAATTCAGACCTTCCACAGTTCCGCAATGTCGACTCCAGTCAAGGTGTTGGTGACAGGCTTTGGTGTTTGTCGACGTCTTTGATCCGATACGTCGCTCAGCTAACACACTCTCAGCCGTTCCTTGATATTACGAAGAATCCGTCCTGGGAGATTGCACGGCATCTACCGTCATCCGTTACTGGCTCCAATGGCGAAACCATCACTATCATTGTACCAGCTGAACCCATCCCAGCAGCTTACCACAAGATACTAGCCCAGGTCCCGGTGTTGATCCAGGAACATGCGCCTGATCTGGTTGTGCATATGGGTCTTGATGTCGGCAGCGGACCCGGAGTATTCAAACTCGAACGGAGTGCACTGCGAGACGGCTATCACGATATTCCAGATATCGAAAAGCGCGTCTTTACCAGAGCAGACAACAAGAAACTGTTTGGGAAGGCATCATCGTCTCTAACAACTACTCTCGACATCGATGCAGCAGCTGGGATATTGCAAGAAGCTTGCTTTTCTCTCAGCCTTTCAACCCCGGCCGCTGCGCCAGAGAATGTCAAGGTCAAAGGCAAAGGCAAATCAAGAAAAGCTATCGAAGTAAGACTCAGTGATGATGTGGGCTCGTATGTATGTGGTTTCAACTACTACATCAGTCTACTGGAGATGCAGAAGCGTACCAGCAAGCGGGACGATGTCTTCTTCCATGTGCCTCAACTTGAGTCCAAGGAGGATATTCAAACTGGTGTGAAGGTGACGGAGGAACTAGTCCGAGCGCTGGTGGTAGTACGGAAGCAATAGAGAGTGCCACGTTCCTTTTCCCCTCTTTTCCCTTGTGTCGTTGCCATTCCAACGGGTTCTGTGCAACGGACGCATGGCAGGCAGGGATCTCCACGTGGAGTTGTACCGGTCAATCGGTGCCTTGAGTCCAAGTTGGCAGTCTTGATAGCTTAGCATCGTGTCTCCAAATCGTGGTGTGCCCTACTGCTGTGAAGCCTAGGGTGCAGTGACTAAGCGGACGCGCCTTCCAAGACGCGTTGTCCCTGCCCTCATTTCATTTACCATCAGCTTCCGCCTCCGTATAATTCATCGCCCGCCACCATCATCATCGTCAGCGGCGCCATATAACTACTCATATTCAAGACGCTGGGCACCTGTTTGGCGCTTGGCCATCTTTTACATCCTTTTGCCCGCTCTGCACACCAAGTGTGCTTCGTTATGAGAATGCGAAAGCGCACCGTACCAAGCATCATCTTCCCGCACGAGGCGCAGCACTGCTGCGATGTTTCAACACTTAACCTCGAATCAACGCGTTGATACGCGAGAGCGACGTACATTATCACCGATGGACCCGGCTGGGCAACGACAATGATGGGCCGTCAAGGCGCCTCACGTCGCGCAAGAACTTATCACCAAGTCTCTACATAGTAATTGAAATATCGCTAGACGCAAACCCGGCGACAATTCTCGCTATTTCGCTACTGTCTCATTTCATGAGCAACGTCAAACGCGCGAAGGATCACTCCTGTGCGTAGCACATGAGCCTGCCAAGAGCATGAACGTAGGCTAAGCACTTGGCGACTTGGAATTCGACATGACAACAACAACAACTGCGGAGTAAAGGAACGCAGCATTCGTGTGCGATCTCTCGGACTAGGCACTCTTCACCAAGTTGATAGCGCTCTCCGGTCGAATCATAGTTTGTTCATATCCCGGGCTCCAAGAGATGCGGGTCCTCAGCATGTGTACACATGACGACGAGAATCTCCGAGGCCGCTCTACCTGTTATTCAGGTCCTCACAATCTATGGAAAGCTTCAGTTCATACTGTGATGAAGTAAGACAATTCTTTGGGCGTAAAGAGCTTCGATGTGACGAAGAAGCTGTAGGTCAGGGATCTCGTTTGAGTACGTGTAGGCCATGTACAATAGATGCATAGCACTAACCAGTACAGTATCCAGGGTTGTGACTACTGTTTGAGCACACACCAACGGTGTGATGGTGTAACGTAGACAACGTGAATCTATTCCTACCAGGGACCTGGTCGCATCGAAGTGATCCACACTCGTCCTTGCCAAACTCAGTTTAGATCCCAAGAAGTCGAAGATCTTGGTCAACCATCATGATCAAAGAAAGCTTGGAAATACCGCAGGGGAAAGCGTCCAAGCATGCCAGGACGGAAGAACGGTTATCGGCACTTCAGCGATGAGATTATGAAATGCGCTTCGGTCTTTCTGCCTGATCGATTGTCAACGGCGCGTCTCCGGATGCTAAGATCATGGCACCCCCATAATCCCCATGGGGCCGGTGCGACTTCCCCAGGTGTTCGGATTATAAAGTTCAAGACTGGTTCCAGTTCTTTTGGCACCGTCAACGACGATCGCCGCAACTCTACCTCTCTGTCGGAAGCTACTCTCCACTTCAACTCACAAGCGATAAAGTTGCCGTTCGTTGCATTTGCAGCATGAACAACCACGCCCAAGACTCCGTGGTAAATGACCCAGAGTTCAAGGACGAAAAAGGCTCTGAAATATCGCCAACCCCGCCTCTCAAGGTAGAGGATGTCGAACAAAATGGATCAATGGTCGAGATTGATGCAGCCACTGAAGCAAGACTACTGAGAAAGCTGGACATTCGCATCGTACCTATGATCTGCTGGATCTACCTGATGAACTTCATGGACCGAGGTCTGTACACATTACTCATTCTCAGACCTCGACTGACGATCCTGTAGTCAACATTGGCAATGCTCGTCTTTACGAAATGGAGGCAGATCTTGGTATGGACCCAAACACCAACCAATTCCAGATCGCAGTATCTATTCTATTCGTCACCTACGTCATATTTGAGACACCTTCGAACCTCATCTTGAAGCGAATGAAGCCGGCGCGGTACCTAGCCGGTCTGATGTTTATGTGGGGCTTAGTAGCCACATTCTCAGCCTTTGTCACCAACTTTGCTGGGCTCGTAGCTTGTCGCCTCCTCTTAGGCATGTTCGAAGCAGGTCTATTTCCGGGCGTCATTCTCTACTTGAGTATGTTCTACAATCGGCGCAACGTCAGTCTGAGGCAGGCGTGGTTCTATGGCACATCTGCACTAGCAGGTGGACTAGGGGTGAGTGCAGCCTGTTCATATCCAATGAATGAGACTAACAGGCGTAGGGTGTCGTTGCGTACGCTATCGGTGAAATGGATGGCGTGGGTGGTTGGAATGGATGGTAAGAATTGTCCCTGTACGAACTGCATGTGAGACACACACTGACTTCGCACACGTCGCTTTTAGGCGCTGGATCATCGTCATTAATGGTATCCCAACCGTCCTAACCGCCATTGCTGTACCTTTTGTCCTCCCGAACAGCCCAGAGACTGCGAGCTTTTTGACCGAAGAGGACCGACGAAACCTAGTCTTGCTTCGCATGAGGGAGATTGGCCAGACGACAGCCGGTCAAGAGTTACTGAAAGAAGACGTTATGAAGGGTGTAAAAGACTGGAAGGTGTACGCCTACGCCATCGCTCAATTCGTTGGGCTTGGCATGCTTTACAGCTTCTCTGTGTTCCTACCCACTATTATCAATGGCCTTGGAGGCGGGTGGAATCGCCAGGTGGTTCAGGCTTTGACCATTCCTGTATACATTGCCGGGTTCATCACCTACGTCGCGGGGGCCTACTACAGTGACAAGACTCAAAATCGAGGCTTGTTCTGCATCGCTGGGCTTGCTGTCAGCATGATTGGATACATCTTCCTCATCGCCAATAAAGTAAGTAACTGACTGCTTCGAATCTGAACCTGTTATACTAACGGAGGCGTAGGGGCTTGGTCTCAGCTTCGCTGGCTGCTTCATCGTCGCGCTCGGTTTATGGGTAGCCACCGGTATCGCCTTCTCCTGGATTGGCGTGAACAACCCGCGATATGGAAAGCGAGCCTTTGCCAGCGGTATGCAAATCACCATCGGTAACTGCTCAGGTGTTGTGGCGCCTTTCTTGTACGCCGCTGAGGATGCTCCTCAATTTACTGCTGGCTACGGTGCGACCATCGGACTGCTGGCGCTTGGTATCGCCATCTATGTTGCGCTGCATCTTTACTTCCGGATGAAGAACCAACGCAAGCTTTCTGGTAAAGAGGATTGGAGGATCGAGGGGAAGACTGAGGAGGAGATTGCGGAGATGGGCGAGGATAACCCGAGGTATTTGTATACTATCTAGGGGTTTTTTCTACTTCTTGTCAAGGTATACAAACCTTGTGCTCGCTTCCTATGCCGAGATAGAGTAGCTATTCGCGGTATCCGGAATACCTAATAATTGATGGGAAGGTGCCATTTCATGTATTGTTACTGGTGCTTGCCGCACCCACTAGTGTACTGCTTGCATAGAAACATTATCTGTTCAATCCAAGACACTTGTACACAACAGGATTTCACGTCAATATATCTCTCACTTTAATCTGGAACCTGTGTCACACGAGACGATACTATGATACATTTCAAAAGTCTTCTGGCACGCTCGACATCGAAGGGGTCAAAAAGAAAAGTCGCTATGAACACCTGCCTGCCACAAGCCAGTCATCCCTGTGGTAACTTTTCTGGCACCTCTGGTCTCGCATTTCGAATCTCAGGTCTCAGACAGTGTCTGATCTTGTGGTGCTACCTCCGTATATATTGCGCACATTCAATCATCTTCCACGACCAAACCAACGCCCATCAGTTGCCAACACAAACCACAAACAAGCTCCTCATGCTCAAAAGCTCAATCCAGAAAGCAAATCGCGATTCATCTCGAAATCCCTTCGAACCCATCATCGCAGCATTCCATGGCCAGCACAGCACTACCTCGAACTCACCCAATGCCTTTACAACCTCATCATTTTCACACTCGACTGTGACAACAAGTATTGTCTAGCAGGCCAAAAACAAGATACTCGATCCCTCCTGTCTTCTCATCGCCCAGACTCTCTGGACGAAAGCATTTCAAACATCAAGAGCAAGATAAATTCCGGTCTTGCGTCAAGACTTCAGCTACACCTTAGAACCTACAGAGCACCAAAACGAGCTCTTTGGTGCAACGCACGATACAAAGCTTCGAGGAACTAATTACGACGAGATGAAGCCAGTCGAAGGCAAGTACGACGACGTCAATGTTCTAAATCGCCACAGTGATAGACACAGTTCATCATCAAGCCAAACTGCAGCCCGATCAGACAGATCCAGCTCTACACTGTTAGCTGATGAGAAGGAAGCACAGAATCTGCATGACAAATCATCCGCCGAAAAGGAGGAGGTCACTGAGGCAGATGACACCGAGCGTCAGCTTGACAGTGGGTATGAAGGAGGTGAAGAGAGTCAAGGGGAAGGAAGTGAGACGTCTAGTCACACATTAGCACGGTCGGAGGGTTCCAGCTGTACTCTGGGACGAGTCAAGGAGGAGGACGAGCACACGGAAGAAGGTGAGTCTGATGACGAGGATGACTTATTTGCACAGAGCTACCGGAACGGCAGCAGAAAGTGAAGAACATACCAACGGCCCTGCCAGCATAAATGGTAAGCGCGCATTTTGTAAGAAGCCTGGTGTGCTTAGACAGTCTGCACATTGACTCAGAGATCTAAGTGGAATATTACTACGTATACTTGTGTGTTGACACACGCCGTAGACGGTAGAAAACGAACCTTGCAATGTTACTCACTGCTCCATAAAAATTGCTACGACGTATCAATTACGACATTAAGAAGACAACGGTGACAAATAAGCCGAACGTGAATGATCAGAGCGCTATATTGATGACGAAGGAAGAACAAAGTGATCGTCATCGTCAAACTGGAGGGTATAGACTCTCTCAAAGCTCGCATCGCCAATTTACTTACTACGACGATAGCAGTGGGTGATCACCGCCGCCTTCTGCCTATACCCCTCTCCCAGAAGCAATGACATTGGACATGCAATCTCTCAGCATCGGAACGCATCTCCGCGCCAATGGTTCATCCCACGGAGCAGAAGCGGAAGCGCGATTTGTTCCTTTCGGATGGGAAGCATGGCACTGTGACCCAGACGGTGCTTGTGAAGACGATGACGGTGAGTGTTTGCGATCGTCTCTTTCTAGAATATGTCCTAAGTTCTTCCAGAATGGCTCGGTGGCTACACAGGCCAGTGGAGGGGCCTTCTGACGGCGAAACCTTCTAGGCTGGGGCACATCTCACCCCGTGTGCAAGCTTTGAGTACTCAGACATGCTCGTCATGCATCTTTGTAGTATGTCCAACGTGCCTCAGACCGCAATTTCTCGACCACAGAGGTCTGTGCAACCTGTAAATCGTCTCTTGTCTTTTCCGCTTGCTGTTCGCTAACACCAACGCCTGACTTGGAGGGAACTGCGATATCAGTTCGAAGTGCCTTTCTTAAGCGAATTCACGGAATAATCCATAAATGAGGCGTTTCTTCGGAGGACTGCCTAGGAATCTCATTTGATAGCGGGGTACGGAAGCTGTAGCCGATATCTTTTCTTATTCAAGGGATCAGACGAGTTGGTGTATAGGAGGTTGGAAGACATGAGTTGAACGGTGCGCAGCCGGTTGCGCTACGCTAATGGCGACTTCCCGAGTTCCCGCCTACAGTTCACTCCTCTTTCCCCGTACAACCACTCGCCCAGGGCCAGCGGCAAATGCAAACACCAACTCAACATTCGCATCGCGTGTACGCGCATTAACGCTCATTTACCGCCTTTGACAGCTACACCCATCTCATCTCACGCCAGATTGGCTTTGCACCGCTGACAGTTCGTTGTGGCTGTCAGCCTTGGGCGTGATGATGCACCTTGCAGGCACAGCCTCAACTCGCGGGCTGCAGGCAGCTTTCACTGCCCGCGTCATCTACAACTGTGATAACTACAACGCATCTACATGGGCATGCCATTTCTGCATGCATCAGAGGGTATACCATGAACTTTCTGGACGTCCGGATGCGCAGTGGCTCAAAGTGTACATGACAGGCGCGCGGAACCCCGCAAAAGTAATGCCTAGCCGCAACCTTCACATCCGCCAGGCACAATTGGTCCGAGATGTTACCAGGGCCAAGTATCGGCGACCCCACGCGGGACCTCCAGCAGGCTCAGGCGCGGCAGATACTCCAAGATAAGCCCTGGGTTGAGCTGAGGGGCGGCTGGCTGCAAACGGAAGACTGCCGTGTGCATCAGCTGCAAGCTATAGAGGTTAGCCTCCAACCTTGTCCTTCTGTTGCGACATCGTCAGCTTTCTTTTCTTTCCTCCTTGTTTTTTTGTCGGTGTGTATCTACACCCTCTTCCCTGTCCACTTCTGTCCCTTGATAGTTATCACCCTCTTCCTGCTCTGGATGCGCTTCGATAATCGTGTTCCCATACAACATGACCCTTCGTCGATCTCGCCTTCTAAACCTCAAGCGGCCTAACGGATAGCGACACTGGCGTCAGCGGCTTGACCGCATTGCAACTCGACAATGCCATTACCGTTCAATCAGGAATCATGGATCTGGTATACGTGTGCTGTGTGTATGATCGGAGCAAGATTGTGAGTGCATCTTCTACAAACAATGCCATTTTTCCACATACGAGAGGCGTCCTTGCTATCAAGAACAAGGCTTAGCACGCGATGCGCTGGCGGGCGAGGCTGTGGCGTCCTGGGCGCATTGCTCTTGTCGATCGCTTCACTCTCTACTCACTTGCACCTCACGGCTAGCATTATGGGAATTACATTTTCGTCTTAACGTATTAATCCACTTTCTGACGGAATTGCCATGCAGAATTTCACGGAAGATGTTGTTTCGATCTATCAAAGGTCTCCAGTTCGATGACTGGACGATGGGTCTCTTCGTCACCGGCGCTTACACGGTTATGATTGTACTTGCAAACCGATGGCTAAAGGTTCAGTCAAACCTTGAACCCGAGAATTTCGACTTCAGCGCACTCACCGTGGACGAACTATCGAGACGAAGATTCGGGAGCAAGCTCGTGGTTGTTGTAGAGCAGATGCACATCGCTGTGATCTGGGCGTGCAAAGCATGTCTTCTGACCATGTATCATCGCATAACACGGACAGCTCTTCGCAACGAAAACATCGCCATCAAGATTCTCGCCGTTTACACAGCACTCGGATTTGTGGTCATAGAAGTCCTCTACTTTTCGGCTTGGTGTAGACCTTTCTCGGAGTATTATGCAGTGCCGACCAGTTCATTCCAGTGCAATGCCTTGGTTCATCACCGCATCACCAAGGCTGTCTTCAACATATCCTCGGACTTGATCATGCTGTGCATTGCATTGCAAATGCTCATCCGATCGCTCCTTCCTATGAAGAGAAAGATAATCCTGTGCGGCATCTTCTCTCTGGGTCTCTTCGTGGTAGCTGCAAGCATCATGAACAGCTACTACTCTTTCAGCAACCCGTACAAGTCAACTTGGATTTACTGGTATGTTCGAGAGTCGTCAACTGCCATTCTCGTTGCCAATCTACCATTTACTTGGACAATATTGAGAGAACTTTTCGAGCTCGGCAATTTCGACGAAGGAAGTCCACCCCCGTGGTCCTATCACTCTCCACGCACAGCAGGAGGTCGGAAGACAGCACAGCTACTCCACCAACAGTCTACGACAACGGGCGCACGTACAGGGACGAAGCGCTCACCGAACAACACCATTGGAAGTAAGAGCATGACTTTGACCCCCTCAAACATCACGCAAACCAAATCGCCAGCCCTTAGTGACATGTCCGGATTCGCCGACAAAGACCTGCTCGAAGAAGCCATATCACCTCACGACTTTGCCCCTGCAGTTCTACCTACTGCAAATGACGGCGTTGTCGACATTGATCTCGAAGCAGGCCATGTGGAAGAAGTAAATGCGCGACCAACCTCTCCTGACCATACTGAGCAACGGAACAAGCTTGCTGCGGTTCCTACTAAAATCACCGAAGATGGCACGGGCGGCTTCTACGTCAACGACCATCCTATCTCACCACCGTCGCGAGTGCATCTCATACTTTCCATGAATGGAACGCGAGACAGCAGTATAGCGAGCACGCATCGAAGACCAAGCGCTACATCAAGTATGATTAGTGGTTATACAGCAAGTCGGCGCGGAAGTGCATCGACGCAGGGCGCGGCGGCTGGACACACAGTAGGCGGAGGGAGAAGCGCGAGGGACCGGAGGGCTAGGACGAAGCTGAATGAGTAAGGTACTTGATGGACGAAGTGACGAGTGCGATATACCCCTGTTCAGCGTCTGAAGGCTTCTACTTTTTGCAAGCATGCTGCCATTCTGTCATAGTCTCGTGATTTTAGCCGTATTAGATATACCCCCCTATAGGCGAATGCCTTGCTACATGTAGACAAAAACCTCTAATATAATGTAATATGATGTACTTCATCTCAACGTGTGTCACGTAATCCTGGAAGCAGAGTCTGAAGAGACTGCCGTCGTCTAAAATCCTACACAAATGACATACAAAAGTAAGGAAGCAAAAGTGATGGCAATGCTAACACCGCTTGCATGGGCACCATCTCCGCATGAATGATGTAAAAACACCAAATGGGCACTCTATTCTGAATGTGATCTGGACTAGGAAAAGCAAACACAGTCCATAAAACTAGGCAAGTTTTTGTAGTAAAGAACAGCCTACCCACCCAACGCCAGCCCATGCACGTATGCCTATGATGCAACGTTCAGGTACTTGATATACTGCTCCTCAGCAGTCTATAAACAGGACATAAAGAGAATGCAAGAGCGGAAACACCACATCCATATCCGTATCACTTTCGTAATCAACAGAAAGTTGTAGCATCTCTCTAGCAACAGACTAGTCCCATTCGAACCACATTGCCCTATTTCTCACACAGGTTTTCGGAAGCAGGAAGTGAGCGTAGCATAGCGGGACTAATGGTACGGTGTCCAAGGAAACGGATACTCGATGAGTACAGGTACTAACTGTAGTCGAAAAGCACGCTAATGCTCTCGCCATGGTGAACACGTCGGATAGCCTAGAAGATTGTCAGCATGTATATCCAAAGCTATTTTTCATGGAATTTGATCTTACCTCAGCAAAGACATTGCCGACCTCGAGAACCTCCAGTTTGGGGCACTTGCTCTTGTGGTCCTCCTGGGGCACCGTGTTGGTCACAATGACCTTGTCTAGAGCACTCTGGTTGATACGCTCAATGGCATCTCCGCTCAGGATACCGTGTGTAATGAGGGCAATCACCTCTGTAGCGCCCTCTTTCTTCAGGAGCTTCGCCGCGCGAGTAATGGTGTTGGACGTATCCGCCAAATCATCAACCAGGATGGTTGTGCGCTCGCGGACGTCTCCAACCAACATCATGGTCGCGTTTTGCCGGTCGTTGATCTGTGTGGGGCGGCGCTCCTTGTGAATCAGGGCAAAAGGCATGCCGAGAGCGTCGGCGATGGCGGTTGCGCGCTTCGCACCTCCAGCATCAGGGGAGACTACAACAGCTTGTTGGTAGTTGGGGATGTTGAACTGGATGTATTTGCGGAGGAGGTGACGGCCATAGAGGTTGTCCACGGGGATATCGAAGAAGCCCTGGTACTGTGGATCTAGCAGTCTGTCAGCGCGTTGTCTTGTACCTAGACAACATGTATCCTACCGTGGAGATCCATGGTGATGACATGGTCAGCGCCAGCGCAGGTCAACAGGTCCGCGATCAAGGTACCGGCTTGAGCAACCCATTGGCGGTATCCAACCTGGGGCTCGAAAGCAGGAGGCTTGGTGGTTGTGGGTGCGCGCGTGAGGAGACCTGGGGTTGGGGCAGCCGTGCCGTTGGTGCCATTGGCTTCCTTGCCAACGTCGAAGTAGGCAGACTTGTCGGATTTGTCCGACTTGCCCGAGTCGACCGTCTCGGAACGCTTGATGCCGTTCTGCTTGACGGGGCTTGTGGGGTTCCCGTTGGCATGGCCGCCGTTGCGCTCATCCATTTTCATCCTACTGAGCTGGTGGTGCAGCGCTGCAGAGCCATTGGTTATGCCGGCGCTTTCAGCCTGGCCTGGGAAGGGCGTCTGCGGTCGCGAGTCGAACGTGTATGTGCCGGTCCTCGAGCGCCCAGGCACCTTGGAAAGAGGCGCGCCAGTCTTGTTGTATGGAATGTCCGACTGTCGCGAGTAGGGAAAGAGGGGAAGGACGGCGGTGATGCGCTTCGCAGAGGCGGTACGGCAGGCGGAGATGGTAATGAGAAGTCTGTCGGACGGTCAGGCACTTCACTCAACTACACCATGAGGATGGGCCTACTCCATCAGATGGTCGTTGACTGCGCGCAACACGAGCATTAGCGGGGTTCTCGAGAGATCAAAATGGCACGCGGGCGTCGTGTTCCGTCCCAGGTGCGCTGCAGTACCACTATGGCTAGGAGGATAATGCGCCGGAGAGCTTCGTACCTTTACCGCCGCCAGACTGGATGATGAAGACATCCTTTCCTCGCACACTCTCCTCAATCTCGACGCGCGTCTCGCCGCCCTTGAACTTGTCAAGAAGCACCTTGGCTTTGGGTATGCCGAGGTGGTTGCAGATAGTCCTATCGCCAGTTAGTTGAGGCCGCAAGCGCGTTCGACAGCGACCTACTCGGTGAGCTGCGGGTGAGAGCTTCCGCCCAGTACCACGATGTTCCTCATGACGACGGCTGGTGGAGGTGGTGGTGTGGGGAGGTGGTCCGTTACTTCGCGGCGGGCAGTATAGCAAGAAGAGATTAGTGAAGGAGGGAGCCTTTCGCGGAGAAATTCCTCTTATCGATAGAGGGAAAAGATTTAGTCGAATTTAAGGTTTCCGCCCTGGTAATGGCTGGGTGGAGCAGTCAGCGCTCAGGAATTGGGCAGCATGATGAAAGATGAATGGTTCTGTCGTCACGGGCCAGAGAGGTTTTCGCTTCTTTCGGCGGTTGCAACTTTTTCTGCCGAACCCATGTCGCTTTTCCCACGCTTCTCACAGCCGCTGGAATGCTTCTAGAGCATGCAATGGCTGCAGTCTGCATTGCATGCCACAGCAAGCACACCGGATGCAATGACTCAGGTTCCACATGAGCTATACTCGCCTTTATCGCCCACCGTAGCCGTTTCACATGTACTGGTTGGCGGTCAGTAATTGCGCCATCCTCAATGGCCGCTTCCCTGGACCAAGGGAAGGGTCCGGTAGCGCCTACCGAAGTCGGCTCCCTCACATGCCCACCGGACTACTACCTAGGAAGGCGCTTTCGGATAACCATACATGGTTCCCAAATCCTCAACTTGCATCCGGTCATCCACGGAATATGTCCTGCAGCGGTCACCCAATGCGGTACCTTGCGCCCTGCCGTTGTCTTTAGCCGTCACCAAGCGTCCACTATACTCGCAGCTTAGCGAACATGCCGAAGATACGTCATCCTCGTCGAATCAAATCCTCAAGATACGTCGTCAGACAAACACCAACATAGGTTATTGCTACATACGGCTATCTAGGAACAATGTTTAACGGTCATTGACACGTTTCGCTCTTTCTTCTTTCCCTCATTACAATGCTCACACACACCAGCTTCATAGCTGTGTCGAGGTCGCCATAGCGTAACATGGCGACTACGGGTGCGACCTCGATACTCCCGATTGATCCCATACCACTGGTGTAATATCCTATTAATCCTTCTCAGAGTGTGTCAGGCAAGGTCCGCCGCATATCCACATGCGAGCGGTTTACCAGTACCCTGGCATCCGTAGCCAAAGCAAGCCATGTCAGTTCGTTGCGCCAACCACCTGCCCTCTACCATGTGCCTGTCCGTACTCCACATACACGTTCAAACAAGCACTTCAATTTAGATCAGAAGCCATTTCACCTGATTCCATCCTCCCACCTCCCCACTCCACTATCTTTTCTCCCTTCCCTCCCACCCCTCCCATTCTCCTCCTCAGGCGTAAACAGTTCCGCGCTTAGCACCAGCACAGCAGGAACAACAGCAAGCGCATCAATAGTCCCACTCCTACCCCTTTTGCTCTGGTGCCGTAGATTCATCATTGCGTTTACTTCACGGGATTTTACAATGTCTCGTCGGATCCGCGGCCATTCTTCACTGTTCCTAGAAGGAGAAAGAGTGGGCGATGTGGGCGAGGATATGGGGTTTGAAGCAGATGAGGAGGAGCGGTGTCGGAAGGGGGAGAGGGAAGAGAGGGTTCGGGAACGTCCTCGTCGTTTCTCAGTTGTCGTGTCCGATGTACATGAGGCCGCGGACGTAGATAGGCGTGGTGATGCGGACGAGGTTGTTGGTGGTGCTGGGATGTGGGGGAGTGGAATGTTTATCTCTGTGTAGAGGGGGCCTTCGTACTGGAGGGAGAAGGGCTCGGATGTTGTCGCTGTGATGTCTGAAGTTGTGGGTATCGGTGCATCGTGATCGTGCTGTGGGGTTGTGGGGGCGGAATATGTATCGAAGGTTGGGAAGGCCTCGTATGCATGCGATGTGGTATCCATGGCTGCGATCTTCTTCGTTTCTTTTCAATCAACGGGTCTTGTGGTAACGTATGAATCTCGAGAGTTGAAGCAGACCAAGACCAGATGTATGCGAGCTTGAAAGCGCGGTAATTTGAAAGGCGTTGCGGCTCGCACAGCCTCGTTCAGGCAACCCTTTGTTTTGGTACGTCGACGCCCAAAACAACTCTCAGAACGATTGATGACCTCAGACTATTGAGCAAGTGACTCACTCAGAATCGGTGGAAAATTGCCTCTCTCGTACCCAATCCTGGTCGTAGATTGAATATGTTTTGTGGCGCGTAGAACGAAGTGCTATCAGCTGCTGTGGTTCTCTTCTAAGGGTTCGCGGAACTATCAACCACGACGCGAACGCGTCTCATCCAGGATACATATACCAAACTAGGCGCTCCATTATCTGCACTTCAGCTGATCACAATAAGCCTCATTTCCACACGCGTGCGCTCAGCCGCGATGTCGCGGTGAGAAGCTTTCGCGAGCCGCTTAGCCGATTCACATGGGGCTGTGCAGAATTCGCGTGCGTATGGAATACGCCGCATTGGCGGCTGAGGAAGTAGTAAGCTCAGCGCAACATCAAGATAGTGCCTAGAAAGCCAGCGGGGCTAGCACGAATACATCATTCATGATCAAGGGAAGGTGAATGTGTGTGATCAAAATATATTATTCGTTTTATCATCGGCATCATCATCATTCACTATATACAAAGTGCAATCACCTTAAACTTACAAAAGCTTAAGAGTGACCTTTCCGCTCTTGACACCCTTTCGGACGACAGGCTCGCGAACGCTCCTCTTCGCAGTGCCGTTAGCAGGCACACGCTCGGGAATTCCCTCCCAAGAGGTAGCGTAATGAGCAACAGCGGCAGCAATACCGCGGGAGTGTAGAAGCCAAGCCTCCTCGTTGAGGTTGGTGACGTTGTCAGCAGCCTGGTGATAGTTCTGGTCAAGGATCTCTCCTGCGACGCCACCCCAGATAGCCTGCTCCTCGACAGTCTTGACCTCATCAGCACCGGTGGTTGTGCCTCCAGCGGGAATGTTGGCGTCAAGGAAAGGACCGTAGTCAGAACGGCCGTTGAATTCGGTTTCGTTGCTGGGGATGTTGAGATCCTTGAAGTATCCCGCGAAAAAGGCCTCAATATCGGCACTTCCAGCGGGGCCGCTCAGACCGTAAGCACTGCCGTCACCGTCGTAGATCTGATGAACATAGTTGGGAGACGCAATCATGTCGAAGTTGAGGTAAGCGCGGACATCAAGAGCTGCTTCAGGAGACAGGCTTTCGACGAAGAAGGTAGAGCCGAGAAGACCAGACTCCTCGCCAGACCAGAAACCGAAGCTGACAGCGTTGTTGACGTTGTACTTGGCAAGAGACTTGGCGACGTTCAAGATAGCAACAGTTCCGGAGCCATCGTCGTTGATACCAGGACCAGCGCCAACGGAGTCGGTGTGGGCACCGAGCCAGAGCTGGTTGTTCTTGTCACCACACTTGCTGGTGGCCAGAACGTTGTTGGTGGTGATGACTTGCACGTCGGTCAAAACATCCAATGTGCCGGTAACGGTAGCACCGCCAGCGACCTTGGCAACGATGGCTTGACCCTCCTCCAAAGAGAGAGTTACACTTGCAACGTAGTCACCCTCGGGACGAGGAGGGGGACCAAGAGTGGCGCTGATTGTGCCTGCAACATTGTTGTAGATAATGGCACCTACAGCTCCAGCGCCTCCAGCAAGAGCGGACTTCAATCCGAACTCGCAGCTACCACGCGAGATGAGCGCAATGGCACCAGATACCTCGGCAGGGAAGTCAGACGCCTCGCAACCGAGGTTGTTGACGGGGACGATGGGTGCGGTGACGAGACCTGGAGTAGACGCGGAGTACTCAAGAATGGTAGAGTTGATCGCACGTCCGTCGATGGTGAATGCGTTGAGAGTGCCGTTCAACATGACGTAGTTGGAGAAGGGCTGGAGCGTAACATCGTAGTACGAAGTAGATTCAAGCTCCTTCTTCAGCCATTTGACGGTATCGTTGTGAGCCTGTCCTCCCATGATCCTGTTACGGGCTGGGTAGCTGTAGGCAAAGTCCTCAAGCTGCTGAGCACCCCTCATCAACTTCTTGATGGTGATGTCCTTCTCCAGAGCATCCTACAATATCATCAGCATATTTCCAACGCGACGGTGAAGAACCGCAGCTGCATACCTTGGTAACCAAGGGCTTCTTGGGGCATGGCTTGGAGTTGTGACCATCTTGGCGTTCCCTAAGCTCGGTAGGGATGGCCGAGGCGCCGACGGCGAGAGCTGCAAGACCGAGAGTAACCCTCATATTGACAAAGCTGTTCTATCTCGGGCGGTTGAGATGGTAGAAGCAAGCTGCAGCTGTGTCTTCCAACTGGAGTGCGGATTGCAGCCTTTATACATGTTTGCTGCACCGATCGACCGGTCGTGCGTGTGTAACCATGTACGAATCCCATGGACCTGTTCCCTAACCCGAGAGTGCAGCTATCGCGTGCAATTCTGCAGCAATCGCGTACACTCGCAGTCGTTCCCCGTCCGCCAAGCATTTCAATATCGGCCATCTCTTATCATTCGCCAACGGCGACTCCACCGTTCATGCTTGATCCAGCAGCTGGTAAAGACAAGCTGCGCCAATGCCTGCTTTATTCTGGTAGACGGTCTGGGCAGCGCCTGGGCGTACCTGATAGTGGCGCTCAATTGCGAGGTTACTGGGGCTCGATTGGAGAGTGCACCGATGTGGGTAGATGTTGGCGGAGGCAAGCTCCCTCCCGCCAAGAAGACCGGATGGGTGCTCTTTAGGAAGGTGGCCACACCCGGCTGTGGAAACGCTGAAGTGCAGCTGTCTGGCCTTCTATAAGCGACTGTGTATCGCGGAACATCCGAGGGACCTCATGGAGCTCGTGTTGTCGCCTCTTCCTCCGGGATTTCCATGTCGTGCGGTTTGGGCAGGTCATCTGGTGTAGAATCGCATGTCGTAGTCGACGGCCAAAAGCACGGCACGCGGCCGCCGAGGTCCCTGGAAAACGGGGGCTTTAGCTGGCGGCGCACGGAGCAGCTGATTAGGTACTGATGACACAAGAGCATCTCATTGCTCTACAACCCAAGAAAACGTGAGAAGAAAATTACACATCAGGAAGACGTTTCGAAGACAATCGATATGTATGAAGATGATATCTGACGACGGGGAATGCGCGGCATATATATCTCAGAGCACCATGTTGTCCTCTTGGCGACACCATCCGCTCTTGGTTTCTTGGTCGTTGAAGCGGTTCGGCGCAAGGGGACGTTGGACAGTGAGTGATCGCCATGCTAATGTTTAACTTCAACTCAAACATGACATTGTTAGCCAAAACTACGTAGAAGTCTCCCTAATACTACGGTTACAACCTGTTGATCACAATAAAGTACCTCCAACAATCTGAAAGCCCCCCAGCATGTAACCATGGAAAGCAAATGTATGTTGCGCCTTGAACCTATCAAGCAACGCAACGCTCAAGCTGTAGCACAATCTCAGTGTTTACAGCGCATGCAAATCCATCTCCCAAATCGTCATCCAAAAGTTTGCACTGCAGGCACGTCCTCACCACGTTAGCGTATATGCTTCCAACAGCAGCGTCCAGCTTGTGATCTGCCGACTCAACGAAGAGCTTGTGGATGGACCCCAGCGATTTCGCATGTTCAGGTGGGATCTTCGAACGTAGAGGCCGCCAGTACGCAATCTCGAGTAGAACTACCCCGAGGCTGTACAGGTCGAGCGTCTTGGAGAATCCACTACCCACGTTCGGGTGATAGTAGTAGTCGAGACTATTCTGACCGCTGGGTCGCACGCCCAGAGACTGCATATTTACTTCTCGTGCGTATTCGAAGCCAGCAACGTAGGGGTCGGTTATAGGACCTGCGAGCCCCAAGAAAAAAAGGATGTTGTCGCCGCGGAAAGCTTTGTGCAACCAGTCAGACGTGTGTAGTTGCATCAGGGTTGTTGCCAATGCTTGCGCGAGTTTGAACCTATCGCCTAGCGGTGGGGTCGGCTTTTCCTTGTATCTCTTAATGATGTCTAGCAAAGAGATGGGTACAGCCATGCCAAGATCTTGTGGTACGCGGTAAACGAGGCCTGTACGATTGGGGTTGCTAAGATCGTTGCGATAGCCGATGCACTTCGCTATGCGGAATGATGCAGGCGCGCTGTGTAGCATGACGCTCAGAGTCTTGATCCGTTCTTGAGCGTCGTTCTTCTTTGCAGGTGAAAGTGTATTCTCGATATCTAGCCACTCGGTCCATATTCGAGGCTTGCTAGGCGCATCTTCCACGTCCTCGTCATCGTCGTCATCGTCGTCGCTAATCAGACTGGTGTTGACTATGTTATATATACAAATAGATCGTGACGATTGAACAGCAGTTGTTTCTTCCAAGAGTCGTGAATCGATCGACACGGCGTCGCGGGTGTTTGCGGCGGTTGACTGTAATAGCTTCAAATGCGCAGCTTGACGAATGAGGACATTTGCCGGACCAGTAAGACCTTGAGCCTGTTGCAAATCGAAGGCATTGTGGGGAATTGTGAGGACGTATGCGGGTAATGCTCGTGTGTAGGCATGTACGGAAGACTCTGTAAGAAGGCCAAGAAGGTCTTCATTGTATTTTCTCAGTATTTTCACAACATCTCCGAACTTTTCCTTGTTTTTGATAGCCCATTTCACACGTTTCTTCTGCGGCTTGCTCATCTGGGCTTTTGACATAGCGTCCACCTGAACGCTGTCCAACCGCAGATGTTTTTTGAAATCCCTATCGACGTTGTTCATCATGTGGTAGTCTACTGGGTGGTCGGAGGCTTCGTGTTTTGTCAGATAATTTTCCGCTTCTCCATGATAGTATTTGATTCTACCAAAAATCTCGGCCATCAATCTTTTGATCTGTTCAGGTTCGCGATCGAGCAAGCAATCTTTCTCCGTCCCAGCGTTCACTCCAAATCGATCGCCCCAGCTCTTGAGCTTCTCACGTTCGATGTTGTAACCGAGAACCAAGTCCCGTAGACCGTTGTCTTTTTCGAATATGCTTTCAATGAGAAAATAGCTATCGAGGGCGCCTTTGAATGCTGCAAGTAAACCGACTACGGCGAACCCGATTCCTACAGCTTCAGCCATTATGAATATGAGAATAGCAAGACTATAGAGGAACGCGAGGGCAATGGTGAGAGAGAAAGTTATACAATTCGCACAACCATTTCCCCGGGGATATGGCGGGGGTAAGTGAGCGCCACGGTCTAGACTGCTGCGTGGTTTTCTTTCGTAGGTTCTGATGGCGCTGTCGATGCATGGAGTATCCAGTGCGTAGACTACAACATATTCAGCTGATCAACAAAGCTACCTATCATCGTCTGGGTGGCTGTCTAGAGCCAATGAAGTATAAATCCGAGATCAGTTCGAGTTCAGCTCGACTTCAGCTCGACTTCAGCTCGACTTCAACTAGACTTCAGCTTGCTGCAGCCAAAGATTGAAGGGCGCATGCATAGCAAGGAAATGAGCTGGAGAGGACTTGACCTCCATTATCGACGGCTGTAAACCATAACACATATCAGTCCCTCCGATAAGTGTAAAGAAGTGGTTGTTGAAAGCAACCGAAGTGCGACGAGAGACGATATGAACTTCTCAAGTGTCGTTTTCGGAGATACAAAGGGCACTAACGGCGAAATCCCGGGATCGGAGCGGCAACCGCATGGGATCCTAGAGGACGGAACATCTGCTGACCTCAACATCAACAACAGTATCAATTTAGATGCATCGCAGCAGACAAACCTCACGTTTCTAGATGTTCTCGGTCTTCTTAGGCAGTATGCGGTACCTTCTGTCGATTTACAACATGCCGTTGGCACTGTTTTGTCGCCGGACGGCGATGTTACATCCAAAGAAGAAGAGATAGGCCAATCCGTTCAAGCTCGTCATCACAGTCACGTTTTAGGCGGTGGTTATAGTGCGGTAGTACTCCGACACTCCACAAAGGATGATATCTACGAAGTCAGTAGCGATCAAGACCTCCGCACTGGAAGGCATCCTGTGGTTGTGACAAGAGCAGGAACTATAGTTGCGTTCAAAAAGATCTCACCAAGACCATCAACTCAGGGTGCGAGCGAAGAAACTCTCATCTCCGAAGCGTTTAGCACTATCTGCAGAGAGATAGAAGTATGTCGACATCCGCTACTCCTGGACCACGAGAACATCTGCAAACTTCACTATGTTGCTTGGACGCTGAATGAGACTCTCCCATGGATTGCGCTGGAGTTTGCCATATATGGGACTCTAGAAGACATCCTTACTGCGCCGGGAGAGGGTCCTACGACCAAACAAAAGCTCAACCTTACCATCGACATCGCCCTGGGTCTTGCAGCACTACATCACACTGGTATCGTCCATGGCGATCTCAAACCGGCGAACATCCTGGTGAATGGCCATCCCACACGGCAGATAGTTGGGCAGTTGTCTGACTTCGGCGGCAGTGCAAAATTTGGAGAAACGAGTCCCAGTATCGCCACTCGGCTTTGGCTGGCACCAGAAGCCTGCACATCATGTCCCAATATTGATTGGAAGCTAGCGGATACATGGTCATACGGCCTTGTCGTGGCTAGTATCTGGAGCTGTTTTCCGCAACCTCAGAAGGCACAAAGTTCTTGTTATCTTGAACAGCTTCTGGCCGAAGGTCTTGAGTCTCAAGTGCAAGATGCCCGCATCTTGCTCCTCAAAGTTGAGCCCGATCCAAGTCCTGAGAGTCTCATCTCCCGATGTGGAACGTTCCCGTCCCCAGTAGCAAAAGTCCTCAGTATGGTTCTATCTTGCCAAAGTGCAAACAGGAAAACAATCGAAGCTCTTGTCAACCAAGACCTAGATATGTGCTTTTCTGCGTTGGGTCGAGAGCAAGTATTGATTTCATCAATGTAGCTACGAGGGTACCCGGGCACTGACGTCAGCAGGGCCTTGATAGATTATACCCATCGTCCTGTTCCAGATTATCTACCCTTCAAAGTAAGATGCCACCCCGTTGTCGTTTACAACTGGCTTACTAGCACACAAGATTTGGTCACATGGGTATCGAAGTCGGTCGGACGCTTACAAGAAGATCGTTTATCACCACCTTCGGACAGCATCAAGCCCAATGAAAGCTACCATGGACAGCGGGAATGGATTACTGGAAGTGGAGCAAGTCCAACCAGTGCCTTCTCAGCTATGGCGAGCGTACGCTAGCAAAGCACTCAGTCTTGCATTCAAGAACCGACTACGCTTTGGCAGAGGACCAATTGTTGCATTCCAGGTTGCGATAAGCAATTGTTGTGAGCTGGGTGTCGAGTTTGACGAAGCCGAGCTTCTGGCATGGGCATATACTGCTGCCAAAAGTGGCCACAACCATGCTATGTGGATGGCGCCCTTGCTTGAAGACTCCTGCGTGTCGTCGAAATATAAGGACGAGGGCTTTCGCAAGGCTTGCTTGGTAATCGGGGCTTGCATCGGCTCAATTCCCTCGCTCCTGGCTCTTGAACGGACTGACCAAACCCTATATGATTCGACTCTCACGGCCATAAGATCGAGAAGACGGCCTGACTTCGAGCGTGACAGCCCAAACACATTCGAGCTTTTCGATCGGTTTTCAGTAGCACCCTCCTTGACGTTGTCGACTTGCAGTCTTATCGATGCCCTAGGCTCCCACAATGTCGAACAAGCCAGAAGGATCCTAAAGACGAGCTCCACAGACGTGACAAATATGACGGACGAGCGTGGTCGCAATATCTTTCATATGCTGACCTACTTGAGAGATGGAGACACTGAAGGTCTTGTGCAATTAGCTGATGTACAAGGCGCTTCTTTGGAACAGGTGGCCGCCGGTTGCGAGTCGACACACAACTTCTTATACAACGGACAAGTCAGTGGCACACCAATGTATTGGGCAGCTCTCAAAGGCATGTCATGTCTTGTCCAACAGCTACTGGTACTCCATGAGAAAAGCGGAACCGCCGTCGAGGGCTTCGACGAAATAATCTTCAGCGTAGCTTTCTTGCATCACTCTGAAGTGCTTCGACTCATCATATCGCAACTCGAACGTACTCCCCATTTGATGGTCAATCGAAGTCCATACCAGGATAGCCAGCAGTTGATACAAGCATTGCTTGGTGCAGCTTTGACATCGGCGACCAATCTCCCCCTCTCACGTCGCATGCTTCATGGCGTAGACTTCGCTACGGCACGATCATGCACCTTGAACTTATTGCTGGATGCAGGTGCAAACCCTCTATTCCTTTGTCAAGGCCTGACAGACACCGTCTTCGAAGAGATTGACTACGATGCCTTGTCTTTTGCGATCGCGAACAAGGATCATGCTTCTCTAGCGTTACTTCTGAATAGAGTACGAGTATCAATCGATCGGTCCCAAGTACAAGAAGCAATGGACGGCAAAATACAGTTCTGTGTAACACAGAACTCATTGAGCTGTCTTCGAGTGCTTCTGGAAATCTTCCCGGAGATCGCCAACCCTCCCGTAGCGAGTTTTGGTTTTTCGCAGATACCGACACCTTTGAATATGGCTGCAAGGCATGCGAGACCAGAATTTGCCCTTGCGTTACTCGAAGCGGGTGCCGACATTACTGTATGGCACAAAGGCTTCTCCCCGCTGGCTCGTGCTTTAGTCGATGGCCATTTAGACACTGCAGACGTCATTTACAAGTTTTGTTCTGAAGACGATATCAAAAGGATATTCGATTATAATAAAACCAGTGGCGCCACTATGTCAGGGAGACTGATGGCGATTTGGCGCAAAGGACGAAATCTGGGAAAAGGTCTCATTGGTGCGATGAAATGGTTGCACAACAAAGGCGGCGCGTACTTCAATTGCTATAAAGATGAACAACGCCCTATTTGGGAAGAAATCTTATTTCGCAGGGCCTCGTCTTCTGCGGAACAAGCCAGCCTCGACAATCTTATGCTCGAAACATTGTTCGACATGTTTCCGCAAGAACTTCATCGAGCGGACGCCAACGGACTTTTCCCGATTCATCGAGCAACTATGAACGGACATCGTCATGCCGTAGAATCGTTGCTCGGTCGCTCCGTCGACATCAACGTTGAAAGTGTCGGCTCGTATCATGACACAGCTCCTGTCCCAAGCGGTCTTACTGCTCTTTCTCTCGCTATCCAACGGCTACACACAGAGGCGCCTTTCGATATCCAGAAGGGTGGAAAGGTCGAAGTACGACGATGGCGTGAGACTATGAGAGATATACTAGACTTCTTATTAAGTAGAGGAGCTACCGTCGGAGAACATCCCAGCAGTATTGACTTCCATCGTTCTCTCCAGTACACAGTGCCGAACGTTCATGTCAGTACTCCAAATGAACTGGACGAGGACGATGAGCTTGAGTGGGGTGAGGATGTATGGCCAAAACGGCTGCCTAGCGACGAAACCAGCTCACAAGCAGCCCAAGAACAAGGTGGAAGGCTTATCTCTCCAATGATGAAGAGCGCGATGAGAACTATGCTCGCTCCCATCAACTCATCTAGACAAGATCCACAGGAACTGTTGAGCGATGAGGAAAAGGAGAACTTCGCTCAGTACAAAAGTTGGCTGCTCACGAGAGCAAAGATTAGAACGGCTGCCTACCAACAAAGAAGCCATGACTGGAACACAGTTGGTCGCAATGATCAAACAGACGGTTCGAGCTCTTGGTCTCCAGATTGGACGCGATGGCACACGTTATCTTCCACACGGACAGCGTTCTACCCCCTTGCGGTCGGTATGACGGAGAATGATACATCTCAGGTCAGTCACACGCAAATTTTGGGCTTGCTATACAACTAATCGCGTCAGGACTCCCATGATCGTGACAGAACTCAATCAGATCGGGATCAGCCAGGGAAGCAAGCTGCCCCAGGTGAACCGACTACTCAATTTAGAAATTGGGAATAATCTTGCACATCGGCAGGATCAAGATATGCGCATGCTCTCTGTTCGGCATTTGTATTGTAAATTAAAAGCAAACGAACAAGGTTCAGTTATGGTGTAGATATCTCTACACTGCATACGTAAAACGCCCCTCCGATTAACGATTCGCCACGAATCTTTACTTGAATTGATCCTCCGTGACACCCTTGCCCATAGCCGCCGTCGAACTTACACCGCCGGACACCATCTTCAGAAGATTGTCGACGTAGTTTGCTCCACTCCACTTCTGATGCGTAAGCACATCGACCTTGTTCTCCGCTTCGGGTTCCTGAATGATTTCGCCGTACGCCCGCATTCCCTGCTTAGCATATGCCTTGGAGAATGTGTCGGCCATAAGAGCGCTTTGGTGCAGACCAGCGAGCGTGATGAACTGCCAGCAGTAACCCAGTTTGGCCAGGCGTTGGATGTAGGTTTCTTGCTCCTCACGTGGCATGGCGGCTTTCCAGTTGAAAGAGGGCGAGAGGTTATACGCCAGTCTATCAATGTTGTTAGCATGGATGATGAAAACAGGAGTGGAGGAACATACTTCTGCTCAGGCCATACAGCATGGACACCGTCGGCAAACTGTTTCGCTTGCGCAAAATCAGGCAGCTTCGACTCCATCCAAATCATGTCGCAGTAAGGTGCATATGCAATGGCGCGGTTAATGGCACATTCACAGCCACCTTGATATCTGTAGTAACCCTCTCTGGTCCTTGCGGCGTCCCAGTTGAAGTAAACATCAACGCCAGTCAGACCTGCGGCGATGGCGCGTGCCTCTGAATTGCTCTTGCCTTTGCTCTTCTCCAAGAACTCGTTGATCATGTTCTGCTTGTCCACGTGTACACCAGCATTTATCGTGTCGATCACTGCCTCATGGTAAAGCTTCAGGTTGGCCTCCTTGGTCCATGCATCTTCGATGGCCTGGAGCTCCGCGCCGTTCTTACCAGCTTGCTCTGCGGCATACATGAGCTCGCCCAACGGTTGAAGAGCGGGGTTTGTGCAGCCTAGGATGTAATGGTGGTCGCGAGGGTCGATGGTCGATGTGATCAGGGTAGCGGCCTCTGAGTCGGTTCTGGCAACGGCAAGTAGGTCGGTTCCTGGGCAGCAATGTGAGCTATGTTCGTAGTCGATACTTGATTAATGTTATCTTACCCATGATGTCTGCCTGTGCCCTTATAGCGACTAGACGGTTGATGTGCTCGCTGATAGGTACCAAGACCTTTCCAGCCATGTGTCCGCACTTCTTCGTTCCTGGTGCTTGATCCTCGATATGTATACCAGCCGCGCCCTTCTCTATGAAGAGCTTGGTGAGCTTCATGATAGCCGTAAGACCTCCGTGTCCGGTATCTGCATCCGCAATAATCGGTCGCAGATAATCGACGCTTGCGACTTTCGCGCGGTCGGCTTTTGCGGTAGTCAGGCGCTCTTCGCGTTGCTTTCGGTCGTGGAACAATTGCGCCATAAAGAGATGACCAACTTTGTTAGGTACAGTTGTCTAGTTATGTAAGCTTTCTTTCCCTTATAGATATTCAAGAGCTTGACTCACGTAGGGGTAATCTGCTAGATCAGGACCTGGTTCGTCGGTTGATGAAGCTGTTGACGATGCTTGCCATCCGGATACGTAGACAGTGTCCAAGTATTTCGCCATCTGTGTGACCATGACGGGATCGAGACATCCGTATGTAAAGCTGACATCGTTGTTCTGGATTCGATTAGATCGCATGGCTGGCATTATGAGGGACTATCATACCTTGAAGCGGCCTTCAACAATTTCCCAAAGCTTCTTTGATTGGTGATTGCTTGGGTAGGTGATCTTAAGATTGCCTCTCTTTGACACGATGTCTTCTGCTGTAAATGGTCTTCTAGTGAACCTCCATCTCGAATCTGACCACCATTGCTTGACCTCCTGGACTTCCTTTTGGAACTGCGCGTCCTCTGCGTCAATGTTCGACATCGCGATCAGACTTTGCGTTATTGGTAGATGATATATGAAGTTTGTGTCAATTACAAAACGTTGGATTCCTTTGGTCCAGTAGGTAGGTAGGTATAAAGATGTAAGAAAGCACGAGGGAAACCTTTCTTTTGATAAATGACCAGCGATGACACAACACACTCTAGCCTCGGTCTACCGTGCCACAAACCTGGGGAGCCAAGCTTATAAGTGTAGCATTAGCATCTCCTACCATCAAGGTTAGCACAATCCCAGCTCTACTTCTTAGCCCAAGAGCTCGGGGACAACCGGCTGAGCGCACCATTGGCCCGACTGGAGCATCCGAGGAAGCTGGCAAGAGGATCTAGCGTGGCAGTCATGCTAGAGCGTTGTTTGAGTTGCCCTCGGCCCAAGGGGAATTGACGTTCTGAAAGCATGACTGGTGTAGATCGGGTGGGGATGGGACCAGCGGAACCGTGACGGGGATGACGTTTGCCAATTGCTTGGTGAGGATGCCATCTCGTTCCAGACACAGCTGCATCTTCATTATCAACCCCTCTCATAACCCCATTTCGATGGACCTGAGACTCATCACACAACGGCACGCGACCGCCTGCAGCTTCACATGCTGATGTTTGTACTTTGCTTTCGTCTTTTGTGCATGTGAAGGCGCATGCTAAAACCTGGGGTCGCGTGTCGCTAGCGTCGCGCGGGTTTTACCTCGGTTGATCCTATCCGGAAAAGGCCAGAACCGCTATTGATCTGCAACTTTCACGGGCTGGCGTGTTCGCTGTTTAGAGGGCTTTTGCTCGGAAACACGTGAGAGTTGTCATTGTTGCGTCTGGGATATTTCGGATAAGCCTCGCTCGGCAGCGACGAGGATCCCGGCGAATGGTTGTGACGACGTCGCATACCAATGATCATTGCTGCCATTACGGGTGATATATCAGTACTCTGACGATGACAATGATGGTTGAGATGAGATGGAAGATCTGCGTGCCTAACTATAACCCTTCAACGACTCGTACGCGTGGCATGAGTACACCAACAAGGCGCTCTTTACCAACCACCACCAATCCAACTGGCGCACTTCGAGTGCATCAGAGTATGCAGACCAATCTTTTCCTGTCACCATGTTTTCTAGGCATTTGGCTGAAAAGAAGCCCGCCGACGACCCACTCCAGCTCTTCAGCTGTTGTGCAGCAGTATAGCACAACACAACCCTGATCACCAAATCCACCAGGCCGACTATTTCCGGAAATCCGAAACAAAACCGATGTGCTAGAAAAAGCTTCGTAACGGTCCTTCTGTATTCACAAGCGTACTGTTGCCCGAAGAAACCCCTGACGTACCTATCCAACTCGGAAAATGGTCTGGCACGGATGTCATCAACGTTCACTGCGGTGCTTTGCGGCGTTACCGAATATGCAGGGTCAGCTGGCGGACATCTCAATTTTTTCAGCAACCACCACCTCAGCTCGTCAAGATGGCCCCTTCTCGTTGGCGGCGTGTCCTTCTCTTCGAGGCGTATCGACGAGCGCTCTGAAAGCAGCAGAGGTAGAAGCTGCGGGCGACACATCCACAAAGTCCTATTCCGTTCATCGGTGAAGACGCACTCACGATCGATGGCCTCGGAAGTGTACGTGTAGTGAATGAGCCGTGAGTAGAATGCTGGTGTAAGCACGCGGATCTCCATGTTCTTCTTGGGCCGAATTCGACCGGGTACATGTGTCGGGCAAACCATATTGGTGGGAACATTGGGAATCGAGGCTTGGAACGTGATGTTGAAATCTACTTCCGCTTCTTCTACGAGCCGATGCAGGTAGTTCCTGAACACTTTATAAAGTGTGCTTGTTCTGTCAGCCGCGTTCATTCATGAATGCCATCGTACTTACATCTCAGCGGATGTGGGTAGTCGGCCAACGCTCGACGTCAGGACCTCTGGTCGGAACCACACATGCAGTTTTCTCTTGAAGAAGATCTTGAAAGCTTCTCTGATAATACGCGGGAACGTAACGAACCCTACCCACCACCAGCTTAGAATGAACCGCATAGTTCCGAAGAGGCCCAACTGTTCAGTATCGATAGCCTTTCCGGTGGAGTAAAGGCGTGCTACAAGCTTCCCATGATCCTTGGAGGACTTGAGTGTGATAGTATTATCGATCATAGGGTTCCCGTAATCCACACACGGAAAAGGGTTTTGTGCCTTCAACGCATACGAACCCTTCCTAGAGTTAAACGGCGAGACATGGAAGTCTTTCATCCACACATCGGTAAACTTGGACTTCGCTTCGACAGGTACTTGCGATTCCTGTCCCTCCGAGCCAGACATCTGCTCAGAGTCTGATGTGCGTGGCGGGCTGGAAGGGCTTGATCCGTCAAGCAGGTACATGCGCCTTTCGCCGAACGTGTTGTTGACTTCAAGTATCATCTTCTTGAGCTCATGCTCGCGATCGTAGACATACCAGAACGAGACTGGGTTGAATGCGTAGCCGAAGAAGCGTGGTGCCGTCACCAAGTAGGCATATTCCCATTCGGAATCTTCGACATGTTGGGCTCTCAGGTACGTCCTCAGCTTCCAGTAGAAACCAAAAGCGCCACCGCCTCGCTCCAGATAGTCCTCCGCTCTGACACGTAGCCACCATCTACCCAAAGTTCGATCTTCTCCACTCGGAAACTCTACTCCGTTGTACTTCGTTCCGCTCGAGATGATGGGAAATCCACACTGGAGGTACGAGTATGCGAAGCCATGGCGTTTCGGGAAGATACGAGCATGCGTCGTCTGGCAAGGGAAGATCTTCGGCTTTGGTGTCTCTATTTGAGACCTCCACCGACTGATATCGAGCGGGGTTGCAGTTGTGTTCTTGCTACTAACGAAGGTACGCCATAGGAAGAATGCGAGTATAGTAAGCGGCAATGCGACACTGGAGACTGCGTATATGAGAGACGTCCTTTTGGCGCTACGAATCCAGCCCATCCATATGTTCCGACTCTTCGATGCTGTTGCAATCAAGTTCTCCCTTGCCAACCAAGCGTATATGATTCCAGACACCGCGCAATCCGTTGTGAGCTGGCGATCTTCATGACGCCGTCTAACGGCATACCCTCCGGTCCAGATCGCGAGCAGAGGCCACACTCGCCACCCATCGGCAACGGCACATGGTAGCAAGAGAGTCAAAGGCGCGCACTCAACAAGGGAAGCACCCAGACCGCGACGGCCACGTGCAATCTGCATTAATGAATGTTTCTGTTAGTATTTTCGTAACATTGAGGTGATTACGAAGGAATATTGTGGTGCGATAAATGTCAGATCGAAGGTGGTTTGACGCTAGACCATTCTCATGAAATGTATATGCAGGGCCAGAACGATCCCCGCCGCGAGTATTTCCCCATCTGGCTAATGCCAATACGAGAGCCGCATCTTCCGGGATACCAAATGTGTAGACCGGTTGTGACCACCGTCGCTATTGTTTGTTTGGACGCCGACTTGCAAAGCTCGTGGAATAGAAAGGAGAGGAGGACGCCGAACCACTGATGGATGTGGATCATGGTGCGTCATCAGGGTTAAGTGGGTCGGGAAGAACACCAACATGTGTCGACCGTCATCACTATACTTTTGTCCAACTGTATATTGCATGTTTCAAAATGCGCCAAAACGACCCCCATGGTCCTAGCAAGTCACTCTTTCCCGAGTTTATCCATCAAAGCAGGAGAGAGACGGTTTATCTCGAGCGCGACGCGACGCGGACTGTGGACTACGCTAGGACTGTTCGAACAAGGACCGGATCCTAGACCGGCGCCATGATTTGGAATACCGTTTCACACACAAAAGTAATAAACATATAGAGAGAACGTCAGCAGTCTCTTTGGAAGCTCGGAGGTTTGCAAAGATCTCGATACGAGAAGCTATTATAACTATGTCGCCCGCCAAGATACAACTCCAATGGCTAGCATGAAAGAAGGCCAGGTAACAGTCAACTACCCGTAAGACGTCCTTCAAGTGACAGCGTTGCCCACCATTCAAACCCTCTTCACGAACATAACTTCTGTCTCCTCTACACTCGCACACGTCCTACATATAAGACGCCAAGCTGAGTAAAGGGCTTTGGCAGGCCGTGTAGTGTGGATGTTACAGAAGAAACACACCCAAACGTCACAACTGGGGTCAGCGCTACTCGTGTTTTGGACAGAGAAACAGGTGCCAGAATGCATAGCGGCTCTTCCAAAAAAAAATGCATTGTGGATGGACAAGCTACATGTCCACGACGGCATAAGGCTCCTGGTGTGGTGGGACTATGTCTGTTGTAATGAGAGCAGAGGTGACGGATCCACCCGCGCTGTTTAGGATGTTTCTTATGGACATCTTTTACAGCATTGCGTACAACAGATGTTGCACGGTCTCTGGAACTGCTGGACAACCCGAGGATTTCTTGCTCTGCATGCGGATTAGTTCGAAATGCTCTCCTCCACCAAGAACTGAATGGAGGAACTTACTAGTAGATGGCGGGTACATGTTGCTCGTCTTAGATATGGTAGAGAATGAGGCGAAACGGGATTAGTTCCAGAAAGGATCAACCGACCGTATCTATAGACAAATATTGTGAACCCGAAACGCCATAATCACGCTCCAGATCTCATTAGAAAGAGAGCAAACACATGTTAAGACATTCCTAGCATGATCTCTACTCTTCCAAGTGTTTGTGGTCATGTCTTGCCAGGAACTCTGTAGCTCATGCACATGTATAAGTACTAATAGCTCTTCCTAGTCCCGGGCTGAGAACGCTACTCAAATTGACAAAAGGGAAGTACTAGCAGGCCATATGGATCTCATGAGAAGTAAGTATCTCGCCCGATAGCACCAGTTACTTACATGCTGACTATACGAAAGAAAAAGACATCCTAGCGCTCCCGGAGCTACCTGATCAACGGACTCAGATATCCGCCGTTAAGCAATCTGCAGCAACAGTCCGAGACGTGAGTCCCTCTTTCCATAACCCTGCTTCTTTTTTTTTATCAAGACGTAGCAGGGCACTAACACCTCGCAGTCCGCCACCCCCCTCCGTGGCTGGGTCTGCCACCTTTGCGCCCACTTCAACACCCCCGGTACCTTAGCCTCTCCCAATGGCCCATGTCAAACATGTAACACCCCCGCCTGTGACGCAGAATGCGCCGACGCAATTGTTACACCACGCGATAACCCGTATTGCGCAGGTTTCACTTGCTGGTATTGCAAGTACTTCTGGGTGTGGTCGGACTATGATGATGATGGTAAACCCATACAGGACGAAGTGCTATCTTGTAATGTGTGTGGAATTCTAGAAGAGGAAGAAGTTGTGTTTGTCAAAAGCTGTTTTGAGGGAACGAAGAAGCTGGAGCCAGAGCCGGGACAGGGGGAAGAACGACTGTTGGTCTATGAAGAGACAAAGGATAAAAAGAGCGAGGAACGAGAAGTGGACGATGGTGAGGGCGCATTTATTGTAGTCGATAGGAAGAGAGCTAGGCCAAAGAAGAAGGTTCAGAACGAGGGAGTTGATGATGGTGATAATGTTAGGTTTACTGAAGTTGGCCAAAAGAAGGCCAGGCAAAAGAGAAAGATACCGGATAATCTACTGGCAACTGGGGGCATTCCACAATATGCACTCAGAAGACCAGGTCGACCAATCAGGTAGATTGAAAGTCCAATATCAGATCTTTTGTTGGTTGACCAGGGAAATTTCCCATTTGGATCCTCAGTAAGCGTGTGGAATCCGTTCATATTTGCCGCGGTATGCAGCTCGATACACTAAGCCTCGCACGTTACAACCCAAATCGGGCAAATGGTAGTCGGGAGCATGCTTCCATCAGCGATGTAATTTTGAAGGGTAGGATCTCATATAAAGGTCTGGTAGCAGCCCCCAATGACTCCGAACTACTTCGGCACATCAATACTACAGGATATCTGCTGCGACTGAGGTCGCAGCAAGGAGACACTGTCTTTCAGTATTGTGCATTTTACGCGATGCCCTGAAACCGATACGGAACTCTGAGCGATGCGCAGCCCTCGGGAGCATGGAAGACGTATGGGAAGGCCGGGGATAGGAGTGTGTTGGTTTGTTGGGATAGACCGAGATCGAACATTTCGTGGGCCCACCAAAAGTAACCAGAGAGCGAGATCCATCCGGCACGATCTGTGAGGATTAGAAATATTGCTTGAACGCAGCGAGCGTTTAAGCAGGATTGATGCGACACTGTTTACCCTACCATATCAGAGCGACACTACCGTGATCTATTGGAGACCTTCAACCCGATCGAATGCGATACTGTCCCATGTTTGCGTATTCGCTATCCAAAGAGGAGGAATGGTGCAGGTATTGATATACATCAGTGGTGTATGTCACGGCATGCTATTTCGATGTCGATTTGCAAGATCAATCGCGATGTCGTTCGTAAAGAAGCGCGAAGAGAAAATCAGGTTGACGATGAACCGGAAAGAAGCATCGAGGGTTAGACGACGCAAGCATTTCAGATGATGGAAGGGAAAGAAATGCGTAAGATCACAGGAGGACTGGAAGCCGTTCTGCCGAAGAGCGCCACAGATTCGGTGAAGATTGAGCGCACTACGAAGCAGGAGCAAAAATAGAAGTTGGGAAGTACGGATCAGGCGGCCCACTGTCGTGTATGTGTATCAAGCAGACATGACCTGCAGAACGAACAGAGTCGCTGCATGACAAAGCTGCCTGCGCAGAATAAGCCAGAGAGCCACCGAGGTGTAAGACAAGGTATCAAGAACATTGTGGCCACGGCCCACTCCACGGGTGAAGACGAAGACCATACCGCTTACGACCTATTCCCGCGTTCGTATAACCGTCAGCAACGATGCAGGCAATTTAAGGAAGGATATGTTTCAGACGATCCTGGGTGGTGTATATCCCCTGATTGGAGGTAGGCGCCCAACCATTTAATCGAGATGCGGATATTATTTGGAAGCATCATATTTCAGACGCGTGGCGTTGATCAGAAGGCTCTAGCTTTAGTGGAACCTTTTCTGGCTCCGAGAGATATCGGTCAGCACACAATGATGATAGTCATTGTACTGTTGGTCTCGGAAAACCCGTCAGCCTGGAAAGCTGTACAACGAGCTCGGACGGGAGTGGCGACTACTAGCCAAGTATCCTCCTGTTCAACAGTCATCAAGGAATGAGTTTTGAATCCATCTACAAGCTCACCCCACTCGCGTTCGCCACCCGGAACGGCACAGGTATTCAGTTGAGCGGCAGGTTGTGGTATCATTCGCGGAATCTATTGATTGCCGTGATGTCGGGCGTATGCAAGATGTAATCCAACTGCATGTCGGCTAACAAAGCACAATGTGTCAGAATACTGTGAACCCCTGTCTCCGGGGTGAAGTTACACCCAAGCCGTCTAGCCGACAGATCTGACATAAGCAGACATCTTGTAGAGTCGGGCAGCTATGCCGGGCAACATGCGTAGACGATGGTTGTATTTACCTGGCGCGTATATTGTGGCTGCTTAAGCAAGTGTCCCGTCAGAGACACGGCAATGGAATGGAGGATCGATCCGAGAAAGCTCGGGAAGATATTGCGCGAGACTTGATTGGATTTCCATTGGGCCGAGCCATGTTGACGTCGATCATCGTGGTCACCATGTCGGTAAGCATACCAGATGCTGAGTGTACACTTGTAGTGTGGTGTGTCATCATGCTGTCGGTGGGCGCATGTACGTGATCTCGAATGCTGATCGTATTGAATTCTACTCAAGGCATTCCATGGGTATCTGGAATTTATGCGTGATCTTGGTCATGTTGTTGAATACAGGAAATCGGATATGTTAGTATGTCGTCCAAATGCAAACTGGCATGCTGCTTGCGGTCATTGACGTCTGTCGTCATTTATGTAGCTGCGTTCGGAACCGAGCCACCTGCAGTCGTATCATCCATCTTTGGCGGATTGGTATCGATTTGAATAGTGACCTAGTCGT